ACCACCAAGTGTTGGTAAGAATATGGAACAGTAAGAGCTCTCATTGATGGTTGAATGCAAAATGCTACACTTTAAAAAATAGTTTTGAAGTTTTTTTAAACACTCAGCATATGATCAAGCTGAGAACGTGTGTCTATGAAAAAAGTACATGCAGAGATGTTTATAACAGCTTTGCTCATAATGGCCACAGTGAACAAGCAACCAAGATATCTTTCAGTAGGAGAAAGGACTGATAAACTTTGGTGCATCCAGGCAAAAAGACATAGCATGAAAAGACATGGAGGAACTTTAATAGCATATGACTAAGTGAAGGAAGCCGATGTGAAAAAGGCTACCAAGCTATGTGATTCTTATTATATGAGTTCTGGCAAAGGCAAAACCAGGGAGAAAACAAATAGATGACTAGTTGCCAGGATTAAGTGGGAGAGAAGGATAAAGATGCAGAGCATGGATGGTTTTTAGGGTACTAGAACTTTTCTCTGTGGCACTACAATGGCAGATAGGTGTCATCATACTTCTGTCAAAAATCCATACCATGGATAGTGAACTCTGATGTGACCTATGGACTTTGACTCGTACTGCCGTGTCCTGGTCGGAGTTTTGATGGGAGCATTTACCACTGTCGTGTAGGGTGACAATGCAGGAGTGTGCACTTGTACAGTTGGGGTCTGTAGGGAGCCCTCTGTACTTTTCACTCAGTTTTATTGTGAACATAAAAGTGTTCTAAAAAGAAACCTTACTAGTTTTTAAAAAGATAGAAGAAGGGGTAATAAAACTAGAGAAGTTTTGTTCTTTTGCAAGGGTTTTTTTTATTTTTTATATTAATCAAGGAAATGATCACATCAGCACAGTGTACACAATAATCCACCAAACTATTCCAGTGAGGAAGAATCTCTTAAAGCTCCTTGTTAAGGGAATACTTAATGTTTCCAGTTCCACTGCTACCTTAACAGAGAAGCAATCGAATTCCTCTTTTGTGTTAATATTTGTCAGAACTTTAGTTCATATTATAGCTAAATGTTTGGTATAAAATTTATACCAAATGTTAAAAGCCAAGGCAAATAAAAATCACTTCTTTGTTCTCTCTTCTCCTTGCCATACACACTCAAGTTTTGGTCTTCATCAATTTCTCTCATATTCTGAAACAACCTCTCACTTTAGGACTAATTCACTATCTTCATTCGTAAAAAACAAAAATCAGTTGTCTTAACTTTGCATAACTTTACTTTTCCTTAACACTATACTTTTTTTCCTAACACCCAATTACTCATATTAACTTTAACTTGTAGTCTAGTTAATTAACTTCTAGTTAACGAGCCCTGGTAGATTGGAATTGATAGTAATTATCTGTCATACACAAGCAGTTTAACTAGCTAGCGAATATTCTCTGTACTACACATTATTTTTATGTGTTCTTAAAGTGGCAAGAATGAGTATTTTCATTAATATAGTGCAAAATTACAGTAACTTTGTAACATTTTAAGTTAAGAAGCAGAGTTGTGTAATTTAGAGCTATGCTTGAGGAACAAGGTTTTGCAGATAAATAAGAACTTTGAAAATAATGTTTACTTGGACAATTTTATGCATGGATATTATTAGCTTACTGATAATCAAATAATTATCAAGATTTTAAGAAGCTTGAAGAAAATATAAACCCATACCTTTAAAAATCTATAGAGAAAATAGCTATGTATTTTAAGAAAAAAAAATGTGTCTGATTTTTCCAAAGATTCACTGTTATGAACATGGATTCTTTTTTTTTTTTTTTTGTGGGGCTGGCATTTGAACTCAGGCCTTCAAACTTGCAAAGCAGACTCTCTATCACTTGAGCCATACCTCCAGTCCATTTTCCTTTGGAGATGGGGTCTTATAAACTGTTTTCCCAGGCTGGCCTTAAACCATGATCCTCCCAATTCAGCTTCCCAAGTTGCTAGGATTACAGCGGTGAGCCTCTGGTGCTAGGTGTGGATTCTTATATTCAAGTGTTTCTGAGCTGTTTGGCGATTCTATAGGAAGAATATTTTTTTCCTTAAATGACTGTCACATTTAAATTTTTCATTACATACAATATTAGCTTCATTAACAGCTTATTATACTATATAAACCAACTAGTCATAGTGCCTTAATTTCGAGTCTTCATCCTTGTATTTATTAATATCCTTCTTAGGGAAATGTTTCTAGTCACATAATTAGAGATGATGGCATTGACTTACTGTAGCACACAGAATGTGCAGCTTCAATTTTGCCACCTGAGCATAAGTAATCAAACATGGAAACTTACTTGTCAGAATTTCAGTGACGGCTGTTTTTCTTTCTAGAAGTCAGGAGATGTTTTGTGAAATAATTTGAATTCATAAAAAAAGAAAACAAGATTTAAAGGGTTACACCCCAAACTCTTCCTTATCTGTCACATGAGGGATAAGTCCCCATATCCTCTGCAGAGTTCTCTCATATCAGATTATAAAGCAACTCCTCTTCCTCCTCCTCCTCTTCTTCTAGCTAGATCCAGAACTCAAGTGGTGAAGAACCAGGAAACAAAAGATTACCTTCTAGCAGACATTAATGGCAGCAATGAAAAGTTCTCAAAATAATTCGCCTTGCCCCCCTTTGGTGGTTGGCACATGAACTCATAACCTTATGCCTACAGGTGCTCTACCACTTGAGCTGTGCCTGCAAGCCTTTTTTTGCTTTAATTATTTTTCAGATAGAATCTCTTGTTTTTGCCCATGCACCCTTGCATCCTCCCACCTCTGGCTCCCAGTAGCTGGGACCACAGGTGTATGCCATCATACCTGGTTTATTTGTTAGCTTTTTATCCAGGCTGACCTTGAAGAATAATCCTCTGGATCTCTACCTCCTGAGTAGCTGGGATTACAAGTATGCACCACCACTCCTGGCAAAAAACACATTCTTTTCGAGAATCAGTATGAGGACTGAGAAGAGAGGTACCTGGGATTAAACATCTCTTGAAGTGCATTTCTGTGGTAAAACAGTTTGATTGGCTGTATTTAACACACTTGACCATTTCAGTGGCTCCTTCAAAACTGTGAAATTTGAATACAGCTAATAGTCAAAATGATGAATTCATAAATTTAAAATGAACATGTGTCAAAGATTTTATTCAGTTCCTTAATCAATTAGAGAACTAGTAAGATAAGAAATGGGGTTCAAAGAGCATTTTAGGAATTAGATATTTGGAGTGGGGATATACCTCAGTGGTAGAGAGCTTGCTTAGCATGTGTGTGGCCCTGGGTTCAGTTCTCAGTACCACACACATAGTGAAAGGAATTAGATAGTTAAAGGAAAGTTAATAAAGTAATGTCAGAATAATAGAGCTTAGTTAGCTACAGAACTGGTTGGTACTCTTCACCTACGTAACTGACAATATATAAAGGAACAGGACATGCCATGTATCCCTGAGTTACAGAGATTTCATTTCTAATATTGTTGAAAACACCTAAATTCTTCACTTAGAAATTTCATTTCTAGTTCTGTATCTTGGAGAAACTTACATAGGAGTGTAAGGAGGCACTTACAAACTTGATTATTATAGCTGTATTTAAAATAGCTAAATTGGTTTTCTTTTGTTTTTTTTGGTGGTACTAGGGTTTGAACTCAGGGCCTCATGCTAGGCAGGCTGTCTTACTGCTTAAGCCACTCCATCAGCTCCTAAAATGCTGTGTCTTTCATATTGTTTCTTATGTTTTCTCTTCAACAAAATTGGAGAAGAAGGGGCAGAACAGATTTTTCCGGGAAGTGTGGGGGAGGGGAGAAGGGAGAGGTGGCCCAAACAATGTATACATATATGAATAAATGTAAAAACAATTAAAAATAAATAAAACAGCTAAATTGAAACCAATGTAATTGTCCATCTACAAAATGAATGTTTTTTGATATGTTTATTAAAGCATAGTCGTTAAAATGAATTGGCTAGAATTGCGATTATAGTTGTCAGAGAAAAGTCTCAATTTTAATGTTGAGTGAAGAAAACTAAGGTTTAAAAAGAGAGGTATACTTCATAATTTTTGAAAACATGCATATTATGCCAAATGATACACACATATTATTTGTTTCAAAAAATCAGTAGAGTTGCTAAACACAGAAATTAGTATGGTATTTCCCTGTGGAAGCAGTGAAGAGAATAAAGTTAGAAACGAGTAGTAAAGGGCCCTCAATATTTCTATGGTGTGTTTTGCTTGCTAAATATGACTAAAATATTGCACATTGCCAAGAATTGATTAAGTTAGGTGTAGAGTACCTGAGTGTTTATTATCTGTATTTTTCCATATTTGAAATATTTAATTATGAGGAATAAAAAAATGGTTTATATCAGACATATATAAAATTTAAAAGCATCACACATTAAACAATATTACTGTGATGCCTACCTCAGAAACATAAGAAAATACTTAAAGTTCATCTTTGTGTATATACAAGTACACACACGCGCACACACACGCACACACGCACGCACGCACACACGCGCACACGCACGCGCGCGCACACACGCGCGCGCACACGCACACACGCGCGCACACGCACACACGCACGTGCGCGTATATTACATATTTGAATTACACAACCTGAGCAGGAAGGATTCCCTGCAGTTCCCCATGATGTGCCCCTGCCCCTTTGGGAGGAATGCTGTGATGAGGAATTAGGTGTTAGGTATTTCAGCTGGATCTGTTACGTTTTAATTAACTAAGGACAAAAAGTGTTGCAAATACCTCATACATTTGAAGTTTCAATTTTTGTGGGAAATAATATGGACGTGTAGTAAATGGAATCTACATTCAGCATTACTTATGTCTATCTTTCAAGTTTTTTTAAGAAAAAACTAAGCATTTGACTAAAATCTGGAGCTTATTACATTTAAAAGATAAATTATGGGTTAGTATGAATATCTTAGATATCAAGTTTTTTGTTAACTCATTTATTAGGAATGACAGTGCCTTATCAGATCAATTAATGGTAGATAACTTTTTTTCTTCTCTCTAAAGAATACAAGTCAACGACCAGATTGTGGAAGTGGATGGAATCAGTTTGGTGGGTGTCACACAGAATTTTGCTGCAACAGTTCTCCGAAACACTAAGGGCAACGTTAGGTAAATATATGGCTTCATTTCTACAACGAGATCACTTTATATAAGTATATTTTGTCTAGTTTTAGATATAAATGTGTGTAATTACAATGAAAAATTTCTCCGAATATTAAATCTGTGTGACTCAATATGATTAATGTGTGCTTCATTGTTAATATAGTAAGAATTGCCAAGAAGATAGAATTTCTAGTTTTAGTGTCAAAAAATATTTGTCTTAAATCCTTTTAATAAAATCAGTTATAAAATAAATTGAATTTGAAATTATTATTCACATACTGGATGACATTTTTAGACAAGTAGGCTGAATTATTTGAGGCAAAGAGTATTTTAAAAATCTACTTCATTGTTTTAAATAATGAGTCAGGACCATTCTTTGATGAACTATAACTTTTCCAACTTAACAGGTCAGAGGGTGCATGCTTCCAGACCTTGAAATTTATATCCAACCCTGAGACTGTGGAAATTATAGCCTACAAAATGAATGAGTAAGCGTTCTGGGCCAAATTTGGTAAAGATTTCAAAATCAGTTTTATTTAGTCATAGGTTAATTTTTTAAAAGCATTTCTTATGTCTTACACTGTGCCAAAATCTATGAAGGCACACATTTAGGAGACATTATTTAGTATATGTAATATGAAAGTGGTTTAGTGTTCTTACAGTCAAGATGAAACTGCCAAATATTCTAAAAATATTGATGAGTTAACATTGCTGTAAAGTGGGCAACATTTGGGTTTCATTGCAACATGTTTGATGTTAGACTTTTTCAGTGGGAAAGCAGCACTTGATGCTAAAAGGATGCTTTAAGGAATACAACCTAAACAACTTACATAGGCAGTGTGTTGATGCTCCTAGAGCACCCACAGTACTGAGAAAGGCAAGTGAACTAGGAAGAGTAGAGGAGAAAGTATGTGATCCTGTCAGAGCTGCAGGGGTGGCCTCCTGAGTAAATGCAGTTGTCTTTCTGCAGGTGGCCAAGTGTTTTTGAGACAATACTTTCTTGGGTTGGTATAGAACTGGTTTTGAAGCTGCCCATTTGACTTTTAAAATAAATTCAGAGATTAAATAAGCAAGGTACACGTTCAACCTGTAAGAGAATTTCTCAGGTGGAAAAAAATTTTGTAGTGATTAAATCATTGCCATCCCTTTCTTTCCAAATTTCTGACGACAGACCACATAATTTTGCTTTATCATTTCAAGACTTTTAGAAATTGCAGATGACTTCTTAACTGTTTTCCCTGATTTTACTTTTTCTCTTTTTTAGTCTTTCCTAATCATTTCCCTAATGAAGAAACATAACTGCAATTTTCAGAGCTATTAAAGGCTATTATGGAGAAAAGGAATCCAACTTTTATTTATCTCTTGTAATAAAAGAACTAATACTAGAATTGTTCTGTAGCTATCACATCCATCTCCTCTTCAGAACCTTAATTGGCCCTCCATTCTGTGTAGTCACACATTTTTTGTCACCTGAGCTTATCTCTTGTCTCTCTATGTCATGCTGTGGTGTAGTTGTATGGCAGTCATCATCTTTCAAACATGACTTGTATAGTCTTGGTTTTGTGCCTTTTTCTCTGCCATTTTTTTTTGTTTTTAAAATACTGTCTTCTGTTTAGAACCTTCCTGTCTGAAAAACATTGAAACCCCTTTGTCCTCTCGGAAGTCACCTCCCCAACACCTAGTAATCTCTTTTTGATAACACTCATCATTCATACTATTATTTTGACCTTGAGGTTACAATGTGCTCTGCCTTTGTCTTTAAAAGCATATACCTTATTTTCCCAAAAAATAAGGCATTTGCTTCACAAAACTCTTGATATAGACTTGGGAATTTTAGCCTTCTTTGTTCCTCTCAAATTGTTTGACCTAGGATTTTAATTGGGGTCTTAATTAATTGACTATGAAGAGAAAGTTTTCTCACTTTTAAATCTTTAAAAATAATATTTGAATCCTCTAAATATATTTTAGGTAGTAGTTCTTCATGAGATACCAATATAAAATCAAGATCCAAAAACTAGAGCTGTTCTTTTTAAACTTTTACTGAACTACTTTAAACTGAGGATTTAAAATACATTACGGTTTTATGTTTCTTGTCTATAAAGAAACATATATATTATATCAGTGGTTATTCAGATTTATTTTCAAATAGGGAGATTATAAAAAAAGATTGCTAAATTTAGTTTGAGTTTTTCTAACTTCTAAATGCATGAAAGAAATATGTAGGACTCATGACTTTAGAGAGCCAGGAAGGAGAAAAATTTGAATATGGAGTTGGTGAGAAAATTAAGACTGAGATTAAGCATATTAGGCCGCTTTGAAGAAGAGATTCTGCTTGAGTCAGTTAGGCTCCTGGAGGACATTGGAAGCCCAAGTGTGGGTGAAAGCTGTGGTAAACTGTTACTATTTTCTCTATTTTACTGACATACTGTAAAGCTAAACATTCACAATGAGTACTGACTAGTTATGTCAGTTTCTTTAAGTACTTGGTTAAGGAAAGCACTCACAAGACCCAAGCAATGTAAGTTCAATATGATGTAGCACAGTCACGGAAGAAGAAAAACGTGCATTGAAGGGCAGATGTGGACCACTCAGGTCTTCCCACCACTGAATCTCACAGTTTTCCAGATTTTATAGCACCATAGGCATGTGGATGGTACCAGGAACCTCAGATTCTGGGGTGGTGGGATTCCTCACCTTGAGCTGGTAATGTAGGAACAGTTCTACTGTGAACTGATGTTACATGGCCAGCCTAACCAGGGTTCTCATGAGAAACAGAACCAAAAGAAAATAGGTAGATAGATAGATTGATTGATTGATAGATAGATACACAGATAGACAGATGATGATGGTTGTCATGCATTTATAGAGGCAAAGAAGATGGAAAATGTAAGGATAGGTACTACCATATGTCTGTTTTTAGATGAAGATATTGAGAGACAGAGATTTAGTAAATGAAAACCGAGGAGTGGTTGAGCAAGACACTGAATGCATGTGGTCTGGGTTCATGTGAAAAGCAGCAGTTATAAGAGAAATGTGTCGTGGGACTTGGGTCTTGTAGACTGAAGAGAAACATCGCTGAATATTTAAATATTATTTATAGTTTTATGGTGTGTGTTTTAAAAAAATTTTTGAGAAGTATCTTGCTAGGTATTCCAGACTGACCTTGAATTTGCTTTGTGGCCCATGTTGGCCTGTAGCTTGTGATCCTCCTGCCTCTGCCACCTGAGTGCTTGAGTTGTAGGCATGCGACGCCATGCCCAGCAAGTATTCTGTCTGTCTGTTTGGTGGGGGTGCTGTGGGTTAAACCCAGAACAAAAGTGTGGCCCAGGCTGGCCTCACACTCATGATCCTCTTGCCTTAGCTTTAGCTCACCGATTGCTGGCACTCACCATCACACTGGTCATAGTTTTTAACAGAGTCAGCTCTTTAGTTATTCCTATCTGCTATCCACATTATAATGAAGAACCCATTTTTTTCCCTCTGATCTGCAGAGATACAACATAAAACATTGAACCAGTTGTCTAAATTTGCGACATTGTTGGCAAAATGACAACCAACAAGGCTAAATTCTGTAACAAAATTAAATACAGAAGTTTCTTCTGTATAACTCTGAACTAATCTGTTATATTTCTTCCTTCTTTCTATATGTAAACAAGTGACTTTTACCTTTTTCAAACTACTTCTTATATTCTTCTAATGAATTTATAATTTCTAGTTTAAGATCAACTTTCCCATAACTAAACAAATATAATATAATATAATAGACTTTAAGGATCTCTAAGAAAAGCATCACTTAATATTTCAATTAGAAAAATAAACTGTGAATAGGTGAATAAATCTGGCGAGTCTAATTAACAGTCTAAACTACTTAAATTATTTTTTATGTACTGCAAATGAAAACATAACTTTATCCTACCTTTTATGTTCCGTTAAGCAAGTCACATCCTTTCAACTACCATAAAGATGATGAATTTTTAAACAACTTTTGCAACATTTTTCTTTTTAGGTTTATGCCATGAAACACTGAAATATAATATAAAAACATACTAAATAGTAATAATCTAAAGTCAAAAGAAGAGAACAGATAATGCATTATGCAATGTGTATTGCAAAGCTTGAGTTAATCTAGAGCCAATCAGGATTGGCCAAGTACTCAGGACCAGATTGTCTGGAGCAGGCACTGATCCTTGGTGAAAGCTATGAAGTGTATCAACTAGGAATGAATGATGTTTTACAAACGGGCATCAATAAATAATTTCAAAACAAGATGTCAGAATTGTTTCAAAGAGTAGTCGAGTTTATAACTTATACCTAGATGATACACTATTATGGTTAATTTTATGTCCATTTGACTGGGCTATGGTATGCCCAGATATGTAGCAAAATACTATCTAGATGTGTCTGTAAGGGTGTTTGGAAGAGATTAGCAAAAAAGCAAGCCTCAGAAGGATTTGTTTCCAGTAACTTAACTGGCTCAGGAAAATACTCAAGAATGTTTATTGGGATACAAAAAGTGTCTCCATGTTTGCTATCCAAACAAAAAATACCAATACTATTTCCTACAAAGAAATAGGAAAATATGGGCCATGATTAGTAGAAAAATTAATCAATAGAAGCAGATCTAGAAATGTGAGAAATTATAAAATTACTGCATAACAGAAATTAAAGTTATTGTAAGTAGGTTTCAAATATGTAAGACAGTAAAGAAAGGATTAAGATGTAAGTAGATAGATGAAAAATCATTTGCTCACCTCAGGAGATGAGAATTGAAAACTCAAGAAACTTGAAATAGAAGGGTGCTCCCTCAACAAGATAAATAGCTTCTAAGTGAAACTTGAAACTTATAGCTAAAATCATACTTTGTGGTGAAAGATCAAATGCCTTATGGCAGATATGTCAACCTGTATAATTCTGTTCAATTTCTGTCCTTAAAACAACAAAAGACAGGTTAGAGAAAATGCAGACAATTTAAATGAATTAAAAAATAGTCCATGGTCACAACAGAA